AAGATTAGGATAATATAGGTCAGGTCAGTTTAATCATTTTTTAACATTTTTATAAATTACAAGCTTTTGTTTGCCCTCTGAGACCAGAATTAACAATCAATGTTTCGTCTTATTTTTGATGTGATTACAAAAATACCTCTATTTTAGAGATAGACATCTAGAATGTTAATGCAGACCAGCTTTTTTGAGCATCCAGTATATGTTCATGGTTGCTGCGGCCAATAGAACATATAAGCATGACTAAGGCATTAAAGGTTGTTTATAGTATAAGTTTATTTGTTTGTTTGTTGAGTAAATCAGACTTTGGAAAATATATCAGATCCAAAACTTACTAGCGTAAGACTAGGCAAATTATTTAATCTTATGCATAATCAGTTTTATTATGTATAAAGCTGGGGAAATAAGATTTATCTTACAGGATTATTTTGAAAATTAAATGAGATTCTGAAATTAGAGTACCTACTAAAGTAATGGTACAGGGAAGCACCGAATAAATGCTGAGTGTTGTCATGATTGTTCATTCATTTAGTAACTTTTATTGTGCTCTTACTATATTGTAGCCATCATCATTATTAACATTGTTATTATTTACTAACTATAATTCTTATCCACAAATGACATATCCAGTGAAGAATATGAGTCTTGAAACAATTGTAACAATTTTATGACCATATTCATTATTTTATTTGAATATAGAAACTATCATAAGGAATTAAATAAATCTTCAAGGTAAAGACAAAGCAATGTGGAAGTATAGATAAAAATTATTATTATGACTGGAATATTCAGAAAGCCTTCAAAAAGAAGGTGGTAATTGAGTTTGATTGCAAAAGAGCAGTGGTATTTCAGTGACAAAGAAATGAGAGGGAGGTTATGATGGAAAAATACCCAAGTCAGAGAACACGAGAACCAAGATGTAAAGACTTCAACAAATACGGAACTGCTGTTGTAACTGGACAACAGGCAATCATGCTATAAATGAGGAGTACCTGCCATGTGCCAGGCATGGAAGATACACTTTTGAAAATGACTACAATAATTTTTACTTTTTTTCTTTCTTTTTTTTGGCTGGGATGTGGGGCATGGAGTTCACTTTTATTGCCCAGGCTAGAGGGTGATGGGGTGACCTTGGCTCACTGCAACTTCCGCCTCTCCAGTTCAAGCAATTCTCCCGCCTCAGTCTCCCCAGTAGTTGGGATTACAGTTGCCTGCAACTCCACCCAGCTAATTTTTTGTAGTTTTAGTAAAGAGAGGGTTTCACCATATTGGCCAGCCTGGTCTCGAACTCCTGGCCTCAAGTGATCTGGATTACGATAACTTTCACTTTCATAGTACTTATAATACACTGGATGATGTGACCAAGGAAAAATTGGACCCAGATCATAGATGGCTTGAATATGGCCTTAGATGTTTGAATGTTCTCCTATGAACGTTTATAAGGAGGACTTAAGTACTGAAGGCTGTGTTTCAGAGAAAGTGTTGGACTGGCCACCCATATAAAAGTGAGCTAATGCATTGTAGTTGCAGAGAGGCTAACCTTGAGAGGCAGTAGTCATCTTGACAAAAATGAGGAAGATGAGCACTAAGATAAAGATAAGCAACATGAACAAAAGAAATTAATATTTTGTAACAGAGTTGTTAGGACTGGTGAGATATAATGAGGGAAGGAAAGGAGTTGAACATGATCTTGAGGGCCCTACTCTGGGAGGCTTAAAGGAATTGTCTGTATTTGTCACAGGGAATCAGGAAGAGCCAGTTAGGGTCAAGAGTTACAACATGTTAAGCTTGATAGGCTTTGACACTCAACGGTGTCTATTAAGCAGTTAGGAATTGGTTTATTTTGTTTGGAAGAGGTCAGAACTAGCCAAGAGATTTCATAGTCCTTGATAAAAATAGGGTGTGATACCCCTAAAAGGGATGAGTTTGTAAATAGAATGAAAATAAAATATTAGAACTTACAGAACAGCTTGTTCATAACTTTTGGAGTCATACTACAGGTGGTTCTGTAGAAACACTCCATTTAGATTTAACAATAAACAAACAGCTCTTTGTTATGAGGGGAGGAGACTATTCAAATGATGCGCTCCTTCTCCTTTACCTGCTATTTCAAAATGTCTTGGTTTCTTCATATATACCTAGAATTTTCATGAGCAGTGAGGTAAGTGAATAGAGATTATTTCTGTTCCCAGAAAGTAGCTTTGAAGGATGCTGAAATCATGGACGATTTGAACAACACCGCAAAGATTCACCGTAAAGCTGAGACAGCTAAAATGTCAGCGGCTGCCACTTGCGTAGGCTTCTTAGAAGGCACTACAAGGAACCATAAACGTGTTTGTGGTCAAGTGTTTTTGCAAATGTTAGTTATTTAAACTTTCATCAATTCATACTTCTGTCTCTATTCAGATTTCACCTCCCTTTTCCTTCTCTTCTTATTGGGTAGTTCCGAACAGGCTACAGGCAATGTTTTTTGGGAAAGTTGAAGTAAGAATACATTTAGTTTAGGCTTAGTGGAACATATGTCTACATTTTTTAAAAAAACAGCTTTGTCGAAGTAAAATTGACCTATGGAAACCTGCATATATATTTACAACTTGATGAATTTGGACGTAGGCAAACCCCCATGAAATTATCACCACAATTAAGTTAACAGACAAATCCATCACCTCAAAAAGGTTGTTCTATGGCCTTTTTGTTGTTGATGATGTTGTTTTAAGAACACTTAACATGAGATATACCCTCTTAATACATTTTTAAGTGTACCAACACAGTGTTATTAACTATAGGCACTATGTTGTACAGCTTGTCTCTGGAGCTTCTTTTGCATAACTAAAACTTTATTCCCATTGAATAACAACTTTGCATTCCCTGACAGCCGCCATTATACTCTCTGCTTCTATGAGGTTGACTATTTTGAGTACCTCATGTAAATGGAGTGTCTGTCATGGAACTGGCTTATTTCACTTAGCATATTGTTCTCTAGGCTCATTCATTTTGTTGCAGATGGCAGAGTTTCCATCTTTTCTAAGGCTGAGTAATATTTTTAGTCTCTCTCTGTATTGTTGGTATTGCTGGTCACCCAGTTTTTGGCAGAAATGTGGCATATTTTGTTGCATTGTCATGATAATATGTCTTTTTGCATTTAAATTAACATGGGAACTGATTTCACTCAGAAGACTGAGCCCCAGTGTCATTTTTCTTTTCAGACTCAAAAGTTTATTTTTATAGAGCAATAAACAAAAGCTAATACATCACCTTTCTTTGTTTAATTGGTGGGATTGTTTCTTATACAGAAAATAATAATCATTGATAACATTTACTAAATGCTTATCACTTTTAGCTATTTTCAACTACATTTTATAGCGAGAAAACTGAGACAGAGAGAAGTTAAATAATTTTCCCAGTGCTAAACAACTTGTAAGTGGCAGATCTGGAATCCAAAGCCAGTGACTCAGGCTCCCATCATTAATTTAAACCACCAGGGAGCTCTGACTCTCTGTCACTGAGTTAGAAGCCAGGAGTCCCTGAGTTTAAAATCCTTGGGGTTTTAGACAGTTAACTTCTAATAGTCCTCAGGCTTCTTATCAAATAAATGGATGAAGCAGTTAACTTCTAATGATCCTCAGGATTCTCATCAGATAAATGAAGGTGGACTAAAACATAATGTTGGTAACTTTGGGGTGATCTCATGACCCTTTGAGAAAGCTGTGATCCCTTTCTCTGACATAGAATAGATGTAATTATGTAATTAACAAACATCCTTGGATACCCTGAATCCAGTATCTTAGCCCTAGGTTAAAATCCCCTGGACTAGAAAATATTTAAATTTCTTACAAATCTAATATTCTGCTACCTTAAGAAGAGCTGATTTCTAGTTTATTAATGACTTTTTAAAGAGGACAAGAGATTACCATTACGGTGACTTATTAAATGATTTTCATTATATGCCTTATTGGCAGGTTGGTTTGTGTTGTATTCTTTCCTGTAACTTTGCATTTTCTGAATGCTGCTGACATCTTTCACTTGAAGACATTTTTTATTAGAAGAAAATTGTTAGATGCATCTGGATTAAACTGCTCTGAAGATGTTATGGTGTTTACCTGAAGCTATAAAATAATTTATGTTTTCCTAGTAAATGAGATCTGAAGAACAACCCAAGTGTCAATTGCAAAATCAATTTGAAAAGGATCTACTATGAAATTAGGCTTCTCAAATAAAATGTAGTTTAACAAGAGAGCATTCACTCTGTCTTCCTTCTTATGGGGATACTTTGCATTAGAATGTAAAAATGATGGCATGTTTGGAAGCCGTAAACTTAATATGTATCAAACTTCATGGCTTTCAAGATCAAAGGATTAAGTTTCAATTTAAATGTATGGATTTTTTGTTAAAAAAATAAAGTATCTTACTAGAAAACAGAACAAGAAACATTTTGTGTATTCTTTCTATGTCACCTAAGGAAATTGCAAAAGCATCCATTTGAAATTGCATAAGATTTAGTATACACAATCAGGAAAGTACTCTGTATAGATTTTTAAAAATGTATTAGTATTATTCTGCCCTTGAGCCAAAATGCTTAATAATTTGATTTTTTTTTCTATTTAAAATTTGGTTGAAAGATTGTTCATTATTGTTGAATTTCAACATGATTGCAAATTAAATGATGCAAAACTCAATAAAGTAAAATACACAAAAGAGCAATTAACATGTTATCTCAGTAAGTATGTAGAATAATGAGAGAACACACTGTTCTACACTGTAGCATATAATTAAGATGTAGTCATAAATCAGGGAAATATTATATCTTGTTTAGATGCACAGGTGGCTTTTAGAAAGATTGATTAGCTCCTCTTTCCCCCTTGAGATGTGAGTTCATAGTTATTCCTGCAAAATTAAACAGAACATTTTCTCATACTTCCTACAGTAGGTATGCTTCAATGCAAACAGCATGACGGAGATAAATGTTTGCAAAGTGTTCATCTCCTTGTCTGTTTCTATTCCAGATGCTCTCTACGATGTCATCACTGTGGGAGCCCCAGCTGCCCATTTTCAGGGATTTAAGAATGGTGGTCTGCGGAAACTACTCCATAGATTTGAAACAGAAAGAAGAAAGTAAGTAAAGACACGAGGAAAGCACAGATTCCATTAATAGTATCTTCCCTTTGGGGAAACCTATATACAAGGTTAGAATAAAGAAGATTGGTCCATCACAATATACAGTTCTTAACATCTCTAACCCATTTGGTAATATAAAGTTGTTAAATATCTCAAAACTACCAGAGAAGAAGTTAGAGTGAACAAATTGCCTAAGTGTGTTGCTTGTTGAGAAGCATTGTGATGGCAGAAAATTTTCCCAGAAGGCACACAACTAAGGGGTGATATTCTAGTGTCAACTATTGCTTGCTCAAAGGAAGTGTTCAGGGATTTAGCTGGAAATACAGTCTAACTTAACTGTGGAGCCAAAGATACTGAATGTAGATTATGGCTCCTGATTTACAATTTTTAGCCTACTAGTAATTTCCATGGTGGCCTGAGGCACATTTAATTGTGCCACTTGAAAAAGACACATCCATACAGAAATGTATGTTCTGTTCCTTAGGGAAAAGGCATGACCCAAAAACCAGAGTATTAGCACTATTATTTATCATTTTAATATACTGTTTTTCCAGTGTTTGTTTTCAGATGCTTTTGAATATTGCCTTATACAGGTTTGCAGCAGCAGATTATTGTTCTTCTCCATGTCTCATCCAGTTAAGCTTGCTTATCCTATAATATTCTCTAGCTATGACCACGCTCATGTGAAGCATGCAGTGCCTGTCCAGGCCTGAAGAATAACTACTTTCCTTTTCAAGTAGTTACTCTTCTTAAGTTAAGAGCTTCCCCCCTCCCCC